GCTTTTCTTTTGATCCTTATGGTGTCTGTTTTCTCCCAATACTCCAAGTATCATTTCCCTCCTTCACTTCTTTATTTCTGTTTGCTTATTTTGACCTCTTTTTTTTTAAATGGAAGCTTTCCCCAAGTGTCTGATGGTCTTGGATTCTTAGTTCATAGTTAAGAATAAGGTTCTGAAAAAAAAAAAAAGTTGATTGAAAGATCTATGTGAGGGATCTTTCAACAGATGGAATTTATTCTGGGTGAGCCTACCAGTACCTGAAGACAGCTACAGAATATGAGCTGGATAGATGAACAGGAGCCAAGTTAAGAGTTCCAGAGTTTGGATGCAGATTTCCCTTAATTTTCCCATTTTAAATAATCAGCCGTCCACTGCCCCTGGTTTTAAAATGCAAGTACTTCTTCAATGTTATAAACAATATATCTTGGTCTACTGAGACCAGGATTGGTGGTGAAGGGAGTCACTTACCAACAGGATACAAAGGGAGAGAACCTAAGGATTCCACCTATAAGCGTACATATTTTCTGACCAATCTCCCTGTTTTCTGCTCTACTCTGATCTCGATTTTCTTAATGTCTGATGCTTCCCAACGCTGAGCCTTTTGGGAGCTTCAGAGAGATACAGTACAGATGACCCTTGAATCACATGAGCTAACTGCACAGACCCACTTATACGCAGATTTTTTCACAAAATATGTACTACATGATCCACAGTTGGTTGACTATGTGGATATAGAACACCAGATATGGAGGGCAAGATTGTAAACTTACATGTGAAACTGTGACTGCCTGGGGGTCCCCTCTGCTGTTAAAGGGTCAACTGCATTACACCTCTTACAGGTATTGTGCACTTGTAGGTACTGTAAGCTTTCCTTTCTGCTAATCAGTTACTGCCTGTCCATCTGCTTTCTGATTTCAAAAAGTCAGCTATTTCTGATTCCTGCTGTATCTCTCATTCAGGGGAAAATGGAGAGTTACTGTTTTAAAGAGTATGGTCCTCCCTCGGTATGTATCCACAGGGTTCCAGGACCCTCGCGGATACCAAAGTTTGTGGATGTTCAACCCCTTATATAAAATGACAAAGTACTTGCATACAACCTATGCATACCCTCCTGTTTAATTAAAATCATCTGCAGATTACTTACATATAATAATATTTAAAACAACATACATGCTACAAACAGCTGCCAGCACAAGGCAAATTCAAGCTTTACTTTTAGGAACCTTCTGAAATCTTTTTTTTTTTTCCCAAAAAATTTTCAGCCTGAAAATGGGCAAACATACGGACCTTTGGATATGGAAGGGACCAACTGTACAAATGGAGAAGGCAATGGCAACCCACTCCAGTACTCTTGCCTGGAAAATCCCATGGACATGGTCAGAGGAGCCTGGCAGGCTACAGTCTATGGGGTCGGGAAGAGTCGAACCCGACTGCGCGACTTCACTTTCACTTTTCACTTTCATGCATTGGAGAAGGAAATGGCAGCCCACTCAAGTCTTCTTGCCTGGAAAATCCCAGGGACAGAGGAGCCTGGTGGGCTGCCATCCATGGGGTTGCACAGAGTCGGACACAACTGCTGCGACTTAGCAGCAGCAGCAGCAACTGTACAAAGTTTCAGTTTTTATAAAAGTTCTGGAGATAGATAGTGGTTATAGTTGTACAGCAATGTGAATGTACTTAATGCCACTCAACTGTATGCTTATAATGGTCAATTTTATTTTATGTAGATTTTACCACTCTTTTAAAATATAGGTTTTTAAAAGCAAGGTTTAAAAAAAACAGTTACTTCCTGAAAGATCCCTTCCAAGATCATGATCTGCAGTTGCCTCTCTCCTCTAACAGGGTAACATTCTAGTACACACCATAATTTACTCTTTGTAGCACTTACTGCTGATTAAATTATCCTGTTTATTTACTTATTATCTCTGTCCTTCAATTAGAGAGTAGGCAACAGAGTCACCTTCTGACATCACTGACACACTGTGGTCGTTAAGAAAATGTTAGGAGAGCAGTCAGTAAGCATTTGATGGACAAATAAACTAGCTGGTTTCTGGGTCCCAACTTAGACCTCTTGAATGAGAATCCTGGGACTCTCAGACTAGTACTCTGGAGCACTAAATAAACAATGAAAAGGAACATATCTCCTTTTGGTTAAAAAAGGGATGAGAATAATTAGAGGAAATAAATCAAATTCGCCAAATTGTATTTTGTATGACTTAAAGTTGCTTCCTTTTAGTCCCTTATCTGCCACACCGCCAAGTCTCCATTCCCTTTACTTGCTTTTAACTGGCAGTATTCTCCAGAGCTCTGCCCTCCCCTCTCTTCCCTTAAGCACCTTCACAGAGCATTCTTGTGCCTGCATCTGAATCCTGAGCCCATGACTTACTAGGTGTGTAATCTTAAAATTCTCTGTACCTCATCTTATTCATCTTAAAAAAAGAAAGATAATACAGTACCAACCTCATAGGGTTATCGTGAGGACGGAGTTAATATACATCAAATGATCAGAATGCTGCCTGGCATTTAAGTGGTTCAAAAGTGTCAGCAAGAGGGGCACCATATAATTTATCATCCAAACCAGGGCACTTCTGAGAAAGACTATAAATAACACCACTAGAGCAACAGGGCATAAACCAGAAACTGTCCTAGCCGAACCAGGACACAGCAGTCCAATTAGTATAAGATGAACTATAAAATGCTGGTATGCAATCGTTTCTGCCCTACAAACATCACACGGTTAACCTAATATTGTTCACTTCCAATTAAACAAACCTACTAATATACTATTATCTCCGAAACTGGGTTCAGTGAGGGAGGAAAAGGGGTAAAATAAGTAACAAGTTTCAGAAACACCAAATTAAACAAAGTTGAAGAAGTTTCTTTACTATCTAGACTACTCAAAAGTCACTGGTACACTAACACCTTAATTGATCTTAGAGTTGCAATTAATTTTATTTTGCAACTACAAAGCTATTATAAAATAAAATTTAAATAAGCCAGTTTTCTTTCTTAATAAAGTATGTTATCTATGTTCACTGTTCTTTTCTTCAGTATTTAGCCCATGTGTGTGCATTCTAAGGCACTTCAGTCATATCCAACTCTTTGCGACCCCATGCACTGTAGGCCACCAGGCTCCTCTGTCCACGGGATTTCCCATTCAAGAATACTGGAGTGGATAGCCATTCCCTCCTCCAGGGGAATCCTCCCAACCCAGGGATCAAACCTCTGTCTCTTACATCTCCTGTATCAGCAGGTGGGTTCTTTACCACTAGTGCCACCTGGGAAGCTGCTACCTAGCTCATAATGAGTACTAAATAAATACCTGTTGCATGAAAGAATACTAAAAATTTTCTCGTGAAAAATTATTTCAGGAATCTAAAGCAAAATCAGAAAAAATAAAATCCTAATTTTGGATTTTGGATACACTTCAATTTTGTGGGTTTGTTTTGTTTTGTTTTTTTCTATTGAAGGTTCCAGCAGAATTCTTAGATAATAATGGTACTGGATTTTTGCATTGCCTTTGCTCTCAGCTAAATGTGGCCTGCTGATCATGAGGAAAAAGTACACCTAAAAATAAAAACAATAACAGTAGTAACTAATGTATATGAAAAATACTATGCATAAATGGCTTACAAACTTTAGTTCTTTTGATCTTTACAACAAGCTTAAGTGATATCTATTTAGCTTGATTTTGGGAATCTTAGATCTCAAGTCCACAGTTCATTTCCAACTGCCTAATCAGAATTTTCTTTTTTCAAAATTTGTATGTCCCAATTTTGGTATCATAATTTGCCCTTTACCAGGTATATTCCAATACAATCTACTACTAAGCCTAACTCTTGGTAAGATAGCTAAATTAAGTGTTCAAATTCTGTTATGAAAAGGTCCATATGAGTTCTCTACACTACATGGCTCAAAGGGAAGCATGTCACAGGCATAACCTGTTACAAACATACATTTAAAACTATACATTTGTAATTTACATTATTTTCCTCGATAGAGTTATTAAAGTTATAATGGGAGAAATGAATATACATGTGGCAAAAATAATTCCAAATATCAAATTTTGGAGCTGTAAGGAACTTTACAGAAACTAATCAAAATTTTACTGGGCATAAATCAAATGCATTTCTATCCTTAAACTTCAAATCAGGTATTATTATTATTATTATTACCATTCTTTACATGAGGAGACAAGGTTTAGCAATTTGTCCAAGTTTACATAGCTGGTGAGTAGAAGAGTTGGAATTCAAACCCAAATCTGTCTAAAGTGAAAACTAGAATCATTTTCTTTACAGCATACTAGGATTCCTATTTTACATTTTTCTATAACCTGAATTATTCTATTAAAAGTAAAAGAAATCTAGAGCTTCACAAGATCTCCAATTCACCTATTTTTACAGCCTCAGTGGTGTCAAGTAGTTTTATGTGTTATTTACACACAGCTGATTACTGAAACAGTTAAGACTAAAACTCGGGACTTCTGTGAGACTCACATCCAGTTCTTTTCAGCATCACAAGATGTTTATTTTCACTACTACTGAAGTCAGCTCATGGACAGCTGCCCCATTTTTGTGAAGGCCTGAAAATACTGTGATACATACCACAGAAAACACTTTTCCTTGTAAAAAAAGAAAAGGCTTCTACAGTATCTCTTATGAAATCATAAACTAAAAAAGCTGTTAAGACTTATTTATATAATCGAAGGCTAATTCTTTCCTAAGAAATTTGACACAAGGCATTCACTATACTTGGTTTGTTACAGAGCCAACAGGTAGATACACACATACATACAAATAGAAGGAAATGTGCCAAATTTTTGAGCCACCATCCCTTTAACTCATAGTTATTGTGACCTCCTTCAAGAGGTAATTATACAACCCAAGCTCTATATAATTCGAGTACATATACCCCTGGTTACAGTGATAATCAGGGATGGAAAAATGACACAATCTACTCTGGTATCTACTATATGGTTGGTGGGAAAAAGCCTACCTTACTTTTGAATAGTGAGCCATGATACTGCCCACAGGCTTCCAGTAACCACATGCTCACTACAGAGCAGAACCCTGCTTGGAAATGAGAACATCACAGTTGAAAACACCAGAATGGAGCAGAAGAAAGAATGTTTGACATCATCACCAGGTTTCCTGGATTCAGGTTATCGCTGAAATCGGTCCACCTGGATTCCTCATTTACATAATCTAATAAATCAATCCCTTCTTCTAAATTTATCCTTCACTGCTTAAGCTTGTGTTGAATTGCTGTTGCTTAAAATCTGCAAAGTTATAATTATTCTCATAGAGAAAAGTCCTCCATTTTTAAAAAATGCAGCAAAATTTTAAACAATTAAAAATTAGATTAATAGTTTTATCAATATAAAATATACTTTGAAATTTATATACCAAAGCTTTTTTTAACACAGTAATATTTAGTGTTCCTAAACAAGGTTTAAACAATGATTGCATTTTTAAACAATACTAGAGCATTCTGATCAGTATTTTCTTTGAACTAAAATTTTTCTAATGATAGAAAGTATCAGGTGTCTACTCCTTGCCCTTTAACTTTCTGCCATGCCACTCTTCAACTTTAGATTATGTTGGGTGGGTACTTTATCCATCAGTGCTCCTGGAATACATAAATCAGAGAAAGTTCAAAAACCAAAATGTTTGCTCTATCCAAACTCACAAAGAATGGAATAGCATCACCTAAGTTCCTTTTTACAATCCTCTTCTTTAATCCTTCCCTTTCTGTTCTTCCTTCATGATCACTTCATTCCCTCTGGATCAGTTGGAAGCTTGCCTCTCCTCGTTTCCAAAGCTAATCCTCTCGCCTGTGTTGTCATCTCTTCCCAACTCTTTGCTCCATCAATTATGCTCTGACAACTTGCAGTGTCTCCTGTCCCACCAGCATGTTCCACTTGGCCATCACACATGTACAAGGCTTTCTCTAACTTATAAACACAATTTCTCTTGACCAAATTGTACTCATGGTGTTGCTCCTCTATTTTTCACTGTCAGATTTTCCAAATAGTTTAACCCACTATTTACGCGTTCATCACTCTCCTTTGTCCCCAAGAAAAAATGGCTTCCAATGCCCTTCCTTCCCCAAATCACTGATACCGAAATCACAAAATTATTGTCAAATCCAACAGCCTTTTTAAAAATTTTCATTTCCTTTGTACACTCTGTTGTGATATTAACCATCCTCTTGTAAAATCAATTTGATGTTAACCATCCTCTTGTTAAATCAATTTGTTCTAATGACACTACTATTGTAGCTTTCTTCCTTTCTAATAAATGTTTTTGGTACATTCCTAAGGAAGACTCCTTTTCCTCTCATTCCTCAACTGTAGGCAGAGTAAGTGTTTCCTGGATTCATTCTTCAATCCACTGCTTGCCATATACTTTTCTGAAAAAGTGTTCAGTTCAGTTCAGTCGCTCAGTTATGTCTGACTGTTTGCGACCCCATGAATCGCAGCACGCCAGGCCTCCCTGTCCATCACAAACTCCCGGAGTTTACTCAAACTCATGCTCATCGAGTCGGTGATGCCATCCAGCCATCTCATCCTCTGTCGTCCCCTTCTCCTCCTGCCCCCAATCCCTCCCAACATCAGGGTCTTTTTCAATGAGTCAACTCTTCGCATGAGGTGGCCCAAGTATTGGAGTTTCAGCTTCAGCATCAGTCCTTCCAATGAACACCCAGGACTGATCTCCTTCAGGATGGACTGGTTGGATCTCCTTGCAGTCCAAGGGACTCTCAAGAGTCTTCTCCAACACCACAGATCAAAAGCATCAATTTTTCGGCACTCAGCTTTCTTCACAGTCCAACTCTCACATCCATACATGACCACTGGAAAAACCATAGCCTTGACCAGACGGACCTTTGTTGGCAAAGTAATGTCTCTGCTTTTTAATACGCTATCTAGGTTGGTCATAACTCTCCTTCCAAGGAGTAAGCATCTTTTAATTTCATGGCTACAGTCACCATCTGCAGTGATTTCAGAGCCAAAAAAAATAAAGTCTGACACTGTTTCCACTGTCTCCCCATCTATTTCCCATGAGGTGATGGGACCAGATGCCATGATCTTAATTTTCTGAATGTTGAGCTTTAAGCCAGCTTTTTCCACTCTCTTCTTTCACTTTCATCAGGAGGCTTTTTAGTTCCTCTTCACTTTCTGCCATAAGGGTGGTGTCACCTGCATATCTGAGGTTATTGATATTTCTCCTGGCCATCTTGATTCCAACTTGTGCTTCTTCCAGCCCAGCATTTCTCTTGATGTACTCTGCATATAAGTTAAATAAGCAGGGTGACAATATACAGCCTTGACTTACTCCTTTTCCTATTTGGAACCAGTCTGTTGTTCCATGTCCAGTTCTAACTGTTGCTTCCTGACCTGCATACAGGTTTCTCAAGAGGCAGGTCAGGTGGTCTGGTATTCCCATCTCCTTCAGAATTTTCCACAGTTTCTTGTGATCCACACAGTTGAAGGCTTTGGTGTAGTCAATAAAGCAGAAATAGATGTTTTTCTGGAACTCTCTTGCTTTTTCGATGATCCAGCGGATATTGGCAATTTGATCTCTGGTTCCTCTGCCTTTTCTAAAACCAGATTGAACATCTGGAAGTTCTCGGTTAGCGTATTGCTGAAGCCTGGCTTGGAGAATTTTGAGCATTATTTTACTAGCGTGTGAGATGAGTGCAATTGTGCAGCAGTTTGAGCATTCTTCTGAAAAAGTGTACATAACATTAAAATTCAACTGTGTTGTGACTCTAAAACATGCCACACACAATCAAATCTCTGGGTATTTGGGCCCATCTTCTATTCCCTGGGGCTTCCCTGGTGGCTCAGAGGTTAAAGAGTCTGCTGGCAATGCAGGAGACCCAGGTTCGATCCCAGGGTCAGGAAGATCCCCTGGAGAAGGAAATGGCAACCCACTCCAGTATTCTTGCCTGGGAAATCCCATGGACAGAGGAGCCTGGTGGCCTACAGTCCATGGGGTCGCCAAGAGCTGGACACGACTGAGCGATTTCACTTCACTTCACTTCTATTGCCTAGAATATGCTTCCATTCTCAGTCAAAAAACTTCCTCCCAGACTCAAAGGCCATTTACTCTGGGGAAGACTTTCCTGTCACACACCCATCTCTGGAGCAATGTGACTTCCTAGTTCTCTCTCCTATACAGCCTTGGCACTAAGAGGATACCTTTATTATAGCATTTTTTATGATCTTATGTAGCATTGATCCCTGTGTTTTTCATCTCATGCAATCGCATTTCAAGGGCAATGGATATGTTTTACTCTCTTTGTTTCTTTGGTTGCTATAACATGACAGGCACTAGATTATTATCACAAAGTATGTTTCAAAAGTCCAGGTTCAGAATGTCAAGGACATCCTAAGACATTTCATATACCTGCAGGCCTTTTGCACATGTCAAAGTTCAAAGTGATAGTTTCCTGAACACAAAAATCATCTGTTGACTATACCAGTGATTCAGCATATATGCTTTCTTGCTGTAAATAGTCTTCTGTTTCTGCATGCATATGTGTCTTATCTTTTCAATTTATCTGGTGAGTATCTGAGGGCTACATTTTTAACATTAAATACATTATACTATCTGGTGTGATTCCTAATACTGTAGCTGGTATTCAAAAAGCATCACACAACTGTTCAATAAGGCTCACTGTTAAAGAGTTCTAAAACTATCCTAAGAGATTGGTTATTAACTTATTGTTTTAAACTAAAGCTTTTCAAAATTATTCATTATGGAAAATAAACATACATGGAACTCAGACAATAAATGCATTCAAATCCACAGTCCAAATAATATATTTATTTTTAACAAGAATAAACAGTGGATTCTTTCAGTGGTGACAAGGCATTTCTTTTTTTTTTACTTTTGCAGGAAACTGTAAACATGGATCAATTATATATGACCATTACAAAGGAATTTTCCTACAATTCACAAGGTTAAAATAGATTCAGGCAGTGGCATCAATCAATTGAAGTTTAAAACCAAAGTGAAAGGTTGTTAGGAATTATGACCGCACAGGTTCGTAAATGGAAAAAATATATTTATAGTGAAGAGTTCCAGAAGTCACTTTTTTGATCAAGTATACGTCATCTATATAGTATTTTCACCAAAATAGGATCAACCTGGACCTAGTAATGAACAAAAATTAAGACAAATCCAGAATGTGGAATATTCTACAGAGGCAACTGGAGGCCTAAAATCCTCAAAGAAAATCAGATTCAATGTTATAGAAAGCAATACAATGTCACATTTTTATTATTTCAGAATAAAATGGGCTAGAGACATAACCAAATATATGTATAGATTCTAGATTTTTAAAAATTATAAAAGCTTTTTTAGACTGCCATATTAGATGTGATTATTCAATGCATTAATTTTCTTGGTTGGATTAATGGTAATCATAAAGACCTTATTCTTGGAGGTTTGGACTAAAAGAACTTAGGGATGGACCAAAATCTGCATCTTGCTTTCAAATGATTCAACAACAACAACAAAAAAAAACCCCAAGGTAACATTGTAATTATGAGTGTTAAAGAAAATATTAAACCGGCTTAAATGTGGCAATCATTTCACAATGCATGCCCGCATGCTAAGTCACTTCAGTCATGTCTGACTCTTTCAGACCCACTGGACTGCAGCCTGCCAGACTCCTCTATCCATGGGATTCCCCAGGCAAGAAAACTGGAGTGGGAATGCCGTGCCCTCCTCCAGGGGATTCTCCTGACTTAGGGACTGAACCTCATCTCATGCCTCCTGCACTGGCAAGGCAGGTTCTTTACCACTAGCGCCACATGGGAAGCCCACAAAGCACACATGCACCAAGACACTGTATTGTGTGTGTCGAATGTATACAAGTTTTAGCAAGCATACCTCAAAGCTAGGGGGGAAATACATAAAGGAAATATGGTGAAACACTAAGGGTTTATGTGCTTATTAGCTCTGTATTAAAACTTTTAGCTTTTGTACATGATTAAAATTTTCAAAACCTTCAAGTGAAGAGTGAAAGTAATTTCCTCTTCTTTTCAGTCATTTTAAAGTACATTGATAAGACCTGAGT